ACAGGTAAAAGGTCGTTACAGGTACGGCAGATCTAGTGTATTGATTTGTTTTGCAGGTTGCTTTTGGAGTGGTAACAAATTTCTTCACCTGAATACACAACCAGATCGTGTAGAATGTTTACAACACAAAAAAACAATGATTAGATTATCATCCACATATGCATGTGTTTGAACTTTTGAGTTGGGAACATTATTAGGGGTGACTATTGAGGGGGAAACAACTATTGCGACCAACTATTGCAACACTATTGCAATAGTTTTTTTCTCCTTGAATTGTTTCATTTGAAGTCATTTCCCAAATGAACGTATAGTTTATATGAAATAAAAACAAGTTAAAGTAGTTTCTGTCAATTAAATAGCTGACAAGAAACTTGAAACCCAGATCAGGTAAACAGTAAAACATAAACTCAGTGAAGCTTCAAGTCTGCACTCTAAATAAAAAAGAACGAATCTGGTACTTCCTGTATTTTGTGCTGCACATTTATCATTGGAAGTCAGTTACTAAACTATCGATAATCACACATACTATCGATGCATCAATAGTTTTTCGTTTCTTCAATCGATTAATTGCTATCGGAGACTCAACAATGGCAATCCATCGATAGTTTGATGCATTGTTACAGCCCTAGACATTATATTATCCCCCGAAACGCATTTGTCTTTTCCGGAGCAGAACTCTAAAACCGTTCAATATTTCTTCACCAAACTTGGCACATACATGGATCTGGTGGTGTACTGGTGCCTTTTGGTAGTTTTGGAATTCTGAATTAAATGTTTTTGGCGTTTCCATGGCAACAAGTTCGACTTTGACTGAAATTAGTGGTAGTGCTCTTTTCCGGAGCAGAACTCTGAAACCGTTCAATATTTCTTCACCAAACTTGGTAGATGGATAGATCTGGTGGTGTACTGGTGCCTTTTGGTAGTTTTGGAATTCTGAATAAAATATTTTTGGCGTTTCCATGGCAACAAGTTCGACTTAGACTGAAATTGGTGGTAGTGCTCTTTTCCGGAGCAGAACTCTAAAACCTTTCAATATTTCTTCACCAAACTTGGCACATAGATAGATCTGGTGGTGGACTGGTGCCTTTTGGTAGTTTTGGAATTCTGAATAAAATATTTTTGGCGTTTCCATGGCAACAAGTTTGACTTAGCCTGAAATTGTAGTAGTGCTCTTTTCCGGAGCAGAACTCTAAAACCGTTCAATGTTTCTTCACCAAACTTGGCACATAGATTGGTCTGGTGGTGTACTGGTGCCTTTTGGTAGTTTTGGAATTCTGAATAAAATATTTTTGGCATTTCCATGGCAACAAGTTTGACTGAAATTGGTGATAGTGCTGCTTTCTGGAGCAGAACTTTAAAAACCTTTCAATACTCTCCTTCCACTTTTCTATATACACACCTAAATATTTCTATATACACACCTAAATATTTGACATAATCATAACTCGTAGACATAATCATGAAGAGTATTTTGCCATTGAGGGGGATATTGATGACTTTGTCTTCTTGTTTTTTTAACTTTACTTTGAATAGACACAAAAGGTTGATAAAAGTTAATGGTGCCCAAGGGGCGGTGGGGTAGCCTAGTGGTTAAAGCGTTGGCTCGTCACGCCGAAGACCTGGGTTCAAATCCCCACATGGGTACAATGTGTGAAGCCCATTTCTGGTGTCCCCCGCCGTGATATTGCTGGAATATTGCTAAAAGCGGCGTAAAACCAAACTCAGTCAGTCAGTAATGGTGCCCAAAGAAGAAAAGTATGGAACTAATATTTGTTTAGCACCAATACTTCATAGCTGTGTTTACTATCATGTACAAAACCAAATATTAATTTGGAAGCTACATAGACATAATGAGTAATACTGAACATGTGAGCATGTTTAGTGTACAATATGAGTCACAAGATAAATATGGTCTTTTAGAACTGAAAATATTGTCATCAATCTCATTGAAAAGGAATGGTCAAACATTCAAGTTTACAACTGCTAATTATCTGACATTAGTGAACTTATATTGACCAAGTTCAAAGATGGATAAAAGTTATTCTTCTAGTATGTCCAGTAAGCTTACTTTAATTCCTAAGGACTTGCTGAAACATCTTTTTACAATGTGGGAATGTGGCAGTTCTTATCCCCACTAAACAACATGTCAAAATAATAATGTCCAACATTTTATGAGGTGAAAAACGAAACAAAAATCTCTTATACTAACTACACTTTCTACACATTCACAGAAAGTGTGAATGATACCATAAAAGGTATATTCTTCCCGATAACGAAAGTTAATTTCTTAATACTAACTGGGGTACTATGGACGTCTGTGTCCCTGAGCGATAATATTTCAAGTGACGATGTTAAGCTGTAGAACAATTTTACCAGATACAGAACACGAAAAGATCAAGATTTACAGAACCATGTGCACACTGTATAGTGACGGGGTCTATGCTGGCAAACTGACCAATAAACCAGTGTCCACTGATTATGATCAATACAATTGGCCAGGGTTGAAAATCTCATTATTAATGTACGATGGCCTTACTTGTAATTGGGACACCTTGATGTGCACCTGTCATTGTGGTGTTGACATTGACGGGGGATTCTGGATGTTCGCTAATTGATTTTTTAAATCATTATCACAATCACTACTGCAAACATAACCTGAGATCTGGAGATAGCGGTATAGTGATTTGCTTGATGGCGATGGCCAGGAACTGGCAGGGGCGGAATAACCTTATGTTGTATTGGATATATTAAATAATTCATGGTTATAGAAACATGTTTGACATGATAATGCACAGCTCTTTGTTTTTGTTGTCGTACCTTAGTATTTATTGCTGGGAACTCCAAGCTGTTGTGGTTCTTCTGGTGTGTGGGTAGTGCTGAAAACTTGGTAGAGTCAGGTCTACAGTCGAATTCTGGGATAATCTGTACAAACCCTGTTTTACACACCACCTCTCCGGCACACCACCTGCCTATTCACCACCCACCACCTGCCTATTCACCACCCACCACCTGCCTATTCACCACCTGCCTATTGACCACCCACCACCTGCCTATTCACCTGCCTATTCACCACCTCTCCAACACACCACCTGCCTATTCACCACCTCTCCAGCACACCACCTCCCCAACACACCACCTGCCTTTTCACCACCTCTCCAACACACCACCTGCCTATTCACCATGCACCACCTGCCTATGCACCACCTCTCAGCACACCACCTGCCTATTCACCATCCACCTCCTGCCTATTCACCACCTCTCCAACACACCACCTGCCTATTCACCACCTCTCCAACACACCACCTGCCTATTCACCACCCACCACCTGCATATTCACCCCCTCTCCAGCACACCACCTGCCTATTCACCACCCACCACCTGCATATTCACCCCCTCTCCAGCACACCACCTGCCTATTCACCACCCACCACCTGCATATTCACCACCCACCACCTGCCTATTCACCACCTCTCCAGCACACCACCTGCCTATTCACCACCTCTCCAGCACACCACCTGCCTATTCACCACCTCTCCAGCACACCACCTGCCTATTCACCACCTCTCCAGCACACCACCTGCCTATTCACCACCTCTCCAACACACCACCTGCCTATTCACCACCTCTCCAACACACCACCTGCCTATTCACCACCCACCACCTGCCTTTTCACCACCTCTCCAGCACACCGCCTGCCTATTCACCACCTCTCCAACACACCACCTGCCTATTCACCACCTCTCCAACACACCACCTGCCTATTCACCACCCACCACCTGCCTTTTCACCACCTCTCCAACACACCACCTGCCTATTCACCACCTCTCCAACACACCACCTGCCTATTCACCACCCACCACCTGCCTATTCACCACCTCTCCAGCACACCACCTGCCTATTCACCACCTCTCCAACACACCACCTGCCTATTCACCACCTCTCCAACACACTACTTGCCTATTCACCACCTCTCCAACACACCACCTGCCTATTCACCACCCACCACCTGCTTATTCACCACCTCTCCAACACACCACTTGCCTATTCACCACCCACCACCTGCCTATTCACCACCTCTCCAACACACCACCTGCCTATTCACCACCTCTCCAACACACCACCTGCCTATTCACCACCTCTCCAACACACCACCTGCCTATTCACCACCTCTCCAACACACCACCTGCCTATTCACCACCTCTCCAGCACACCACCTGCCTATTCACCACCTCTCCAACACACCACCTGCCTATTCACCACCTTTCCAGCACACCACCTGCCTATTCACCACCTCTCCAACACACCACCTGCCTATTCACCACCTCTCTAACACACCACATAGCACTTCAGAAACACTCTTTACTACACATCACCGCCCACACCTGACACTCGAACTCCCCCACACCTACCGGATGTTCCCCAGGTGACCGCACCGGACACTAATTAGTACTGTGGGAGTATCAGTGGTAACCACTGATCATGTGCACGACAATAACTACCTACCACAACATCCAGGGTGGCAACACCTATAATGAAGCCAGGTTGTCACTATTGATTTGGCATCAGTGTCACCCAACAGACTAACTGTTTGCTTGTATGTAATCTGTGACTCATTCTGGTTCCAGAGCTGGACAAGAGGCACTGGGGGCTGGTGGTACGGTGACATGTGACATCGCTGTCATCCAACAGACTACCTGTTTGCTTATATATAATTAATATATGTGTGTCCTTCTGGTTCCAGAGCTGGACAAGAGGCACTGGGGGCTGGTAACAGTGTGCGAAATAGTTTTCAAATTTTGCTAGCCAGTCAGGAAGCTATGCCTGAATATTACTAGCCCACAAAATCATTCACTAGTCCGAAATTTAAATTTTTACGAGCCATGAGCTAGCGGGCCAGCGGCTATTTCACACACTGGCTGGTATGGTGACATGTGACATTGGTGTCCCCCAACTGACCAACTGGTTACTTGTATTTAATCTGTGTTTTCTTCTGATTCCAGAGCTGGACAAGAGGCACCCGGAGCTGGTACTGTGACATGAGGCATTGGTGTCTCCCAACAGACCAACAGACAAATCTGTGTCTCCTGCTGCCAGAAACAACCCCGATATCAGGACTTGTCTTGTGTAGTCATCAATAACTATGTCATGCAAGTCGACAAAAAATGGCAAAATTATTCAGAAACATATCTGTGGATTTTATGAACAAGTAACTATCAGATGTAGTTCTCTAAAGTGAGGTTTATCAAATCCAATATGGAATTCCTCGGATCAAGATGAAATTTCACCATGTCCATGGTAAAGCCATTGTCCTGTCCGACGACAGAAAGCAAGCGACGAGATCGGAGGTCCATTTTTGTAATGGGCTAGTGTTTGGTGACCAGGCAATCCAGGTGGGCCACAAGCTGTGTGTGGAACTCGCCTGTGTTTCAGCATGGAGTGGTGCCCTTCGGATCGGAATCACCACAAACGACCCCAACAAGTTGACCCAGGCTGACCTCCCCAAATTTGCATTTCCCGATCTGTTGAAGAAGGAAGGCTACTGGGCCCGATCAGTTAATGAGAACCTGACTGCATCGGGGACGCGTGTGACATTCTATGTGACAACGGAGGGCCATCTACAAGTCTTCATTAACAATGAGCACAAGGGAGTTTACTTGTCACGACTGCCGACCAACAGGACGCTCTGGTTGTTCCTCGACATCTATGGAAACACAAAGGCAGCAAAATTTGTCAAACCAGGTAGGTGGACATTTCAAGAATACTAAATTTCTATGTACCTATTGTCATCCTAATTGTCAAAATTGACAACCCACCATTTAATAGTCTGATGGGGAGGCCCTGGTAATTTGATATAATTCTTGCATAAGCATTTCTTACATCGTATGCAGGAGATAAGTTTTTTAATATAAAGTAATAGTGACGAACACAACTGGATTTTTGACAACACTCTTTCTCTCGGACCTGTAGCTTGTTTAGATAAGTGAATATATTTTGGGCATGGATGAAATCTGAGGCCAAGTTTTGTTTCTCATGTTTTTTGGGGGGGGAAATATTTCTTTGTTAATGAAACAATAGCCATATAGTCCATACCTTCTCCAATATATTTTCGTCTATCTTTTGTTAATAGTCTTATGCTGCTAGTGATATTTCCTATCCTAGTTGCATGAATATTAGTGACACATTGATTGAAGCGGCACATTAATACAAACGATAGCAATCATAACGAACGTAAGCTCCCATACTGCTTACTACTCACGTCTAACTGTAACATCACCCTCAACAAAAACGTTTCACCTACTATCTGTTGCTTGTCAAGACACTGATAATGCTAACTAATTAGAACAGTGAACATGAATTAGCCAGTGTTATAACCATGAAGTTTCACAGGCTCAAGTGAATTAGATATGGCAAATCATCACAGAGGTACATGGCTGGTCACATGGAGAGTGAGAAAATTCCAGCCTAGATTTTTCAGGTTGGAAACTGGACTTCCATGTTAGTTGACTGTCTTGCTTCAGGAATATGATTTGTATGAAGTAATTGTACCATGTCTTTGCGGCGGTCTCTTTGATGTTGCCCATGTTGTAACCTGCTAGTTACTACATGGTTTCGCCCTACTGATTCTTACTGGATAATGCTTGCTCCGCCCCCTTTCGTGTGCCAAAACTATGACGTCATCGTAAACAGGTTTTGCCAGAAGGAAGTTTAGATACATTGTGGAACATAAAAACAAGTACAATGTTGACAAATTTATTTACGGAAAAAATGAACATCATTTTAAAACATTTGTATTAAACTACAAAAAGAGCAAAGAAATTAAAATTTAGACTGACTGACTGAGTTTAGTTTTACGCCGCTTTTTGCAATATTCCAGCAATATCACGGCGGGGGACACCAGAAATGGGCTTAACACATTGTACCCATGTGGGGAATCGAACCCGGGTCTTCGGCGTGACGAGCCAACGCTTTAACCACTAGGCTACCCCACCGCCCCTTTAAAATTTAGATTGTTTTCAATCTTGAATTGAAATTTAATGAAACAGTTCCAATACACAAGTTCGTCTGATTGTTTTCAATCTGGAATTAAAAGTTAAAGATGCAGTTTTGATACACAATAGATGGTGTGGACCTCAAACTTTAAATTCAACTCCATCGCCTCACCAACTTGGGAAAGTGTAATATCATCAATTTCATCATTCCAGTTATTCACGCTATCACTGCTGGGTATGAAAGTTGTTTCCACGTCCTCCAAGGTTGAGAATTAATTTTTGAAAACTTGAACGACCTAAGATGGCGTGTATGACATGATATTCATGACGTCATATGGTGCACTCATTTCCCGCCACTTTGTTTTAAACACCCCGCCGAAATCTCATGGTACAAGTCTGTTACCCCACCCACGACTCGAGGTTCGTCTAGTTCCAACACGATTTGTCCTGGCTTTTGATTGACAGGCGTAGTGGCATCTCGGGCTACGCCCTCGTGCCCTACGCCTGTCAATCAAAAGTCAGGACAAATCGTGTTGTAACTAGATGAACCTCTCGTGTGCCAATGGGGTAACTTTAACTTACAGTCAGGAAAGTATTCCATCATAATGAAAACACACCAATTATGGACCTGGAATTCTATCTTACACATACTTTTGATATCTCTAGCTGTTTTTTTTTACCCACAAGTGTGTAATGTATCTCATGGTCAACAATGGTGGATAAAACATCTTTGTTGGTGCACCCATTAGTATAGATGTTGTTACACAACTACTTGTATCTGAAGGCAAGTGTCTGCTGTAGTGATTCACGCTTTCATTAGATCATGATCATCATATAGACACAGATATATTCATAAAAACTCACTTCACTATTCATTAATATACAGATAAATGCACAATAAACTTACTTTACTATTCATATAGAATCAGATACTGTAAATCATGAAATTAATGCGTCACGAACTTAATGCGAGTGCGAGGGTCTAGTCTAAAATGTGTACGAAATTAATTCGAGCTCAGGAATCTGTGTTGATGATTAAATGTGGCACTCTGAATCTTTGGTGGTGTTCTTTTTCTTTTTCATACTTCTCATTTACCAAATAACCTGAACTGAGCTTGTTAAGCAATAAATGGAAATGAGCTGACGATGTTTTGATCATGGGGGCGGTGGGGTAGCCTAGAGGTTAAAGTGTTCGCTTGTCATGCCGAAGACCCGGGTTCGAATCCCCACATGGGTACAATGAGTGAAGCCTATTTCTGGTGTCCCCCGCCGTGATGTTGCTGGAATATTGCAAAAAGCGGCGTAAAACCAAACTCAGTCAGTCTTGATCATGCTGCCATGTTTGATCACATGATTGCTTGCTACAACATGTCTTATGACAACATGTATAAACGTAATCCGACTTGAAAGACACAAGTCATCTACCAAGGTACAACAAACACGTGGCTGGAGAATGTCCGGTCTGGCTGACGTGCTTGAGTGACTTTAAACAATGACCAGTGATTGTAACCAGTGATAATTACATGTGGTTTGAGATACCTGTAATGAGGAAGTGACCTGTATTGGTGTAATGTGTAGTGTCAACAGATTTACGTTTTCTGTCTTTTATTAAGTAGACATGGTCAGGCTGAAATGTGTCATTATAATAATGCGAGAAGAGTACAACGCATATTTCGCATTAATAAAATGCTCGCATTAATTTCATGATTTGAAGTACTTGTATCTGAAGGCAAGTGTCTGGTGTAGTGATTCACTCTTTCATTAGATCAGGATGCTTGTACAGGAATATATACAGCACAAGCCAGATTTGTATCACGTATATATAGAGAATCCGAGGGTCTTTTGATATTAAATATATCACCACGGGTTGATAAAGTTACAAATATCCGAGGCTTGTCGAGGATATTTTTACTTTTATCAACGAGTGTTGATATATTTGATGTCAGAAGATTCTATTTATCATCAAAAATAGCTCTTCATTAGTTTTCAATGAAAAATGTACATCTCTGAACACCGTACTGCCATTAGACTTGCAGTGCAGCGATGTCATAGCATTGTGATGTCATCAGGTTTTTTTACATCATAGTATTGTGAGTCGTGTAAATGATGTCAGGGCATTGTACAAAATCTACTGTCAAAATAATATCTCCTGTGGAACACAGTTTTGGATGATAGTTATGAAAACACTATTGGACAGCCCGTAGCTGCAGACAATATTGAAATCATTTATATGGACCAGCACAGTGATAGGATTACATCATCTGACATATCACTAACATCACTGTTTCTTCTGTCCTTTATATCACCATGTATGGAGGAACCCATGAAGATCCAGGTTAGAATAGGTCTTCAGCAACCCATGCTTGTCGTAAGAGGCGACTAAAGGGATCGGATGGCTCACTTGGTTGACACCTGTCATGGTATCCCAATTGCATAGATCGATGCTCATGCTGTTGATCACTGGATTGTCTGGTCCAGACTCAATTATTTACAGACTCCCAACTATATAGCTAGAATATTGCTGAGTAAGGCATTACACAACAACCAACCAACCAACCAACCAACCAACCAACCAACCAGCCATGTATGAGGCTGCATTATTCTGAACATGTGAAATGATCTGTAAGACTATTGACTATCAAGTGTATCCTGCCATGGCTCTGCTATGTTCATGCTGTGAACGACAAAAGCTATTACTGATTGTCCCTTGGACTCGAAACTAGGTACACCCAGGTAAGCCCTGTAGAATTGTACCAGCCTGATCCCACCTTCTGTAGTGTATAGGCTAATACATGGTCTGTTCAGACATATAACAGCCATTGTTGAAATCTGTGTAGTTTTAGGCTTGTTACTGTCCTGAATATTCAACTCAGACCAGAAGTGTTGGGAATTGCTTCAAATCTCATAATTGATGACAGACGGACAAAACAAACATTGTGAAAAATATTGTTGATGCAAACAAGTATTCCAAGATTGTCTGTGTTGGATTATGAGAAAACATGTTGGATTGCTTGGTCGTTTAGTAACTGCAACCAATCTTCGATTATTTCAATTAACTGGACCACCACTAATGACCAGTGCTCTGATTTTTAATCAATATAAACAAGATTTGTTCTTTTCAAGACTCAACAATGTGTATATGAAGTGTAGAGGTGGTGACTGACGCAGGTGATCACAGCACCTTGCTTATAATTTACCTTGCTGTTTATTATTTTTTTAATTGCAATATGAATGATATAAGGTAGCCCTACCTTGAAAAAGAACAAAGAAAACAATGTGACTGATTGATATATTATAATAGTCCAGGGCCCCGTTCCTCAAAGCGATCGTAGCGCTACAACAGTCGTAAGTCTATGTTAAAGTATGGGACTTACGATCAACTTTGCGCTACGATCGCTTTGAGGAATGGGGCCCAGCTTGACTCTCGACATGCTCCTTGCTGAGTTTGTGTTGAAAAATGGGAGGCAGGCTTTCAACTGCAACACAGCACACTTTTTATACGGAATTGCTTTATCGATTAAACATATGCAGTCAATAATCGTGATGAATGTCCTGATTGATCCGTTAATGACTTGTATGATCAGTCTGTCTTTAGTTTATGTAGAAACTACCGGCAGAGTGGTTGTTGTTATGTTTATGGGGAATGTATTTACTGGATATTACACATATTTAATATGATTTATGGCTGAAATATTTTTTTACATTTTTGTCCTTGCCTCTGAAAGGGTAACCGAAAAGTCAGATAACACA